TATCAGTTCCAAACTAAGATAGCAAAAGTTCATTATAAGCACATGCAGTATCCTGAAGGATGCCACTTTAAAGGAGAAGTCAGTACATTTAGTGGCAAGGCATATTCATAAACAGAAGTGCATACAGAGTTAAGCTTTCCCTACTAAAAAAGCTCACATCTTGTTTTACAAACCTCCTAAATACAACCAGAACATGAAGCCCAAAACTAACAGCCTCCTGAGCTCACAGGAAGGCTTATACCCACAACTGTTACTGTTTATTTGTAACTACAACAAATAAGAAGGGAAAGTTATGGCTTCTGATTTAGAGCGACAGGGATGCAGCAACCCTGTGGGAAGCCACAAACATAATAGTCTGATACTTCCTCTTTCTTTTTAAAAAATTAGAAGCAATTATGAAAAACAAAAAAGTCTAGAGAAAGAAACTCATTAACCAGTTCCACGAACTCTGAATGTCAGCAACACTTAAGCTCCCCTTAGAAGTTTTCTTCAGGATATACGATTTTGGTTAGAGACAGCTTTATAAAAAATTGCCTCATGGTTCTCCTTCCACCTATAACTCACATACCTGTCTCTCCACCTTTTGATTTTGAAGCTTTGTAAGCACATGTTACAGGAACGGAGCCAGAGAAATCCTACAAACGCTGGTGTTACATACGGTAAACAACCGCCGGGGACCTCGAAATGAAAAACTGAATCCCCAGAATCCCTCACTGCGCTAAGGTAACACATGATCGTGGATGAAGTGGAACAACAGAACTGCACCTCACCTAAGCGGCTACGGGTTTGACTCAAACCGAGCACCACGGAGAGACAAACCGTTCACAACAAACAGCCCTCCCACCGTCTTCCTCCCCGCTTCCCCGGGAAGGCGGAGAAATGAGGGCTCACTGCCAGGCTCCACAGGGCGGGCCATAGCGGCTATACGTGTGGCCGGGATCGATGTGTCCCTTTCCGTCCGACCCAGGGTAACACAGGCTTCCCTTTCCGTCCGACCCAGGGTAACACAGGCTTCCCTTTCAGTCCAAACTTCCCAAGCCAACCTTAAAATGGTGCCTTGCCAGGCCGAGCCGGGCCGTGCCCGCCCTTCCGGCCAGGCGGCTCCGGCCGACACCAAGCTCCACCCCAGAGCAGGCCCTAAAGGCCGTCGCACGCACGCCCGCCCCGTCCCGTCCCCGCGCTGCGATCACAGCGGCCGGGGCGGGCCGCCCGACAATCCCACCGCGCTCCCGCACCCGGAGGCCGGGAGTGCAGCGCAGCGACCCCGCCACGCCCTCACCTGCCGGCGTCCCCCCGCACCCGCTGAAACAGCAGCGCCAGCCGCCAGGCTCCTCGCAGGCTCACAGGGGCTGCGCCACAGATAACAAAGCCCCCTCCCATTGGCCGAAGAGCGGGCGCCTCCCCCAGCAAAGGCGTCGCCGATTGGTAGTAGCAACGCTACAGCCGCCACGCCGCACGCGGGCCATGTTGACTATCCAACTGCGCAGCCCTCAGCCAATCAGGGAGAGGACGGGGGTGCGCGCGGGGCTTGCGGCGAGCGGGTGGAGCGCGTGATGCGGGGCGGGGTTTAGCGGCTGTTACACGCCATGGACCGCGCTCCCGACACGCGCGGGAAAGGCCCCTTGTGGGAGGAGGGGGAGAGCTGTCGGAGGGGTGGCCTCCCGCTGTGTCGTTTAACCACCCCGGGCGGCTGCGGGCCGCGCCTTGGCGGGGACCCGCGGCAGGGTTGAGGGCCGGGGATCGGTGCCCGGGCGCTGGCGGTTCGGTGCGCGTTGAGGCTTGGGAGGAGGTGGAGGGCTGAACGCGCATTAGAGTGCCGAGGAGCGATGACCCTGGCATTTCCCGCCGCCTTTGCCAGGCCCTCTGTGGTTACGACAGGCTGTGCTGAGGGCTGGGAAATGCAGTTTCCGAGGCGCTTAAAATGCCGTGCTGCTTTCCAAAGAGGGACTGAGCAGTGCCAGCGTTGTGTTCGGTCGCCTGCCTGCACCGCGAGGTTTACAGTCTTAGCACATACACGTGCATGTATTTGAACGGGTACGGTTTGGTTACATTAATAATGTGACCATGGTTTTAAGAAAGTTTCTCTGCATATCATCTGTGTGAGAAAAATGTAGGAGGCTTTGTTATGAGTGAGCTATAGGCAGAACGGAAGGTCTGTAGGGCACGGAGTTCCAGCTTGTGGGCCCCAGCCAGGGGAGCTTGTGGTCGGTGATAGGAATATCTGTACACAATACAGATAAGGAGTTTATGTAACTGCAGGGCTTGAAAGCATGCACAAGTTTAGAAGTTGATTTGTGAGGAGGACTCGGAGCCTTCCTCCCTACGACCACCAGAGACCCTCCGAGAGCCACCAGAGGGGAGGGGTTTGGGTTTGTGGAAAATTTAAATCATCTCTCGGAAGAGGGGAGGCATAATCAGGAGACACACCTAGAAAGGTATATAAACTGTGAATACCCGTTGAGTGGGAGTGCTCATCTGTCTGTGGATGATGCACCCAGCATGTTGCTATTGAAAAGCTGTTTGCTTCACAATTCCCGGCTGTGAAATTTTGATTGCTAAGCAGGTTTCTCACAATCTGCATGGCTAAGACTTAAACTTCCGCAGCTAAAAGGTGACTCGGAGCTGAGTGTTTACTGTTAAAAACAAACAAAACCAAGCACAGAAACAACAACAGAAAAAACCCACAGTTTTTGCTGTGTCACATGGAGCTCCTTGGTGAAAATGCAGCTGTTAGGCTTTCCAGTGTTATTTCCTCATCTAGAGACAGCTAGAATTTCCTCTTCAAGAAAAAAGAAACCCAGCAAAACTTCCCTAACAGCTTGGCTGCTGTTCATATGGCAACTTGCAAGCAGCAGATGCTGTGTAGCCCGATTATCCCAATGCTGTGTAGCCCAATATCCCTTAAAATTGGAGGATCAAAGGGAATTAAAAAAAAATTATACATTTTAAAATATAGGTTATTAATTCAATGTGAATTGGAATATAATACTGCTGTCTTGACAGTAAAGAAATAAAGTTGGAGGTTGGTTCAAGATCTCAGAGCAATCAACAAATTTGCAGAGGATATTAATCCAGTAGTAGCTAATCTGTATACCTTATTGACTAAATTGAATAATAACCAGAGATGGTTTGCCGTCTTGGATTTAAAGGACGCTTTCTTGTGTTTACCATTGGCCAAAGGAAACCAGAATTTATTTGTTTTTGAAGGGGAAAATCCTGTATTTCCAGTAAGAAAAACCTGATTAACTTGGACAGTTAACCCCTCAAGGGTTTAAAATCAATCTAACGATTTTTGGAAATCAGTTAGCACTGGAACTAGAATCATGGAAACCACCCACTCAGTCGTGGACTCTTACAATCTGTGGATGACCTATTAATTGCCACAGAAACAAAGGAAGAATGTGTCCACTGAAGGGTGGGATTATTGAATTTCCTGGGACTGAATGGTTATTTGGTATCCAGACAAAAGGCCCAACTAATACAAACCCAAGTTTCCTACCTAGGATATGAAATAACAGGAGGGCAGAGAGAACTTGGAACCACTAGAAAAGAAGCTATTTGTCAAACTCCACGACAGTCGACCGTCAAGGAGCTCCAGACGTTCCTGGGAATGACTGGATGATGCATAGTTATGGTGTTCTGGTAAAACGACTATATGAACTGTTAAAGGGAAGTAATCTGGTTTTGGAATGGACTGATTCAGCAGAGGAGGGCTTTTAGAAATTTAAAACAGCTAATGAGAGCTGCAGCTCTGTGACTTCTAGATGTGACTAAATCCACTTGGCTATATTCCTAGGAAGAACAGGGAATAGCTTTGGGGGTCCTTGCTCAGAAACTAGAACCCTATAGGAGGGCAGTGATGTATTTTTCAAAACAGCTGGATGAAGCAAGAAAAGGATGGCCCAGATGCCTAAGGGCTGTAGCGGCAGTTGTCATGAATACTGAAGAGGCTCGCAAATTTACCTTGGGACAAAAGATTACTGTGCTAATGTCCCATGTTATACCAGCAGTCCTGGAACAGAAAGGAGCCCACTGGTTATCTCCTTCACATTTTTTAAAATACCAGGTCACCCTTGTGGAGCATGATCATATAGAAATTGTGTCACTAGTGTTATGGATCCAGCATCCTTTTTTGCAGGAACAACCGACAGAACTAAAACACAACTGCTTGGCCACTATAAAGACAGTATATTTGAGCCCACCAGATTTGAAAGAAAAACCTCTGGAACATGCTGAACAAGAGCCCTGGAATTGGCTAAAGACAAAAGGATAAATATTTGGACTGATTCTAAATACTCTTTTGGTGGGGTCCATGTACATGGTGCCATCTGGAAAGAACAAGGACTTTTGAACACACAGGGGAAACAGATTAAACATGCTGCAGATATTCTACAACGACTGGAAGCTGTTCAGCTACCTGAGGAAGTAGCTATTATGTACTGTAGAGAGCATCAACAAGGTGACTCTCATCAGGATACTGGAAATAATTTGACTGATTTTGAAGCCAAACAAGAAGCTGAACAATCTAAAATTATTCCCTTAATCCCTGATGGCAAACTAACAATTGAGAAAGCTAATCCTAGATATTGAAAAGAGGATAGAAAGTTGATTGAAGATCTGAAAGGACAGGAAAACAAAGAGGGTTGGGTTCAGATACCTGATGGGTGAATTGTAATTCCCTATAATTAACTCTGGAAGCTAGTCAGGAGGAACATAATAAAACTCATTGGGTTAGCAACTCTTTGTATAGATACTTAGACAAACAAATTGTAGGAAGGAATCTATATACCATAGTTCAATTAGTGACAATGTGAGCTCTATCTCAAGAATAATCCTAAAATTGGCAATAGAAATCAAATTGGGACAATTGGGAGAGGAAGTAACAGTTTTTTCTGAATTACTGAGAAAAGAAGGTTATTGATATTTGTTGGTGTTGATGGATACTTTTTCAGGGTGGCCAGAAGCATTCCCTTGTAGAATAAATAATGCAAGACAAGTAATTAAAACATTATTAAATGATACAATACCTTGTTTTGGAGTACCAGTGGCAATTTCTTCCGACTGAGGCTCACACTTTAGTGCAAAATTGTTACAAGAAATTAGCAAAAAATTAGAAATTGATTAGCAACTATGTGTTCCATACAGGCCTCAGGCCAGTGGGCAAGTACAAAAGATGAACCATCTGATCAAACAACAGATTAGTAAAATATGTCAGGAAGCGAATTTATATTGGTACCAAGCCTTACCACTGGCTCTATTAAGAATTCAAACTAAACCTCAGTCGAAAGAGACTAGGCCATGTAAAATTTTATATGGAAGACCATATCAGTTCCAGTTTAAAGGAGAAAGTCTTCTGGAAGTGGGAGAAGGCTATCTCTGAGAGTTTCTGGTCAATCTGGGAAAACAATAAGAAGAAATAAATAAGAGAATATTAGGGACAAGAGCAAGAAGCTTGGATTATCCGATTCACCCTTTTAGATCTGGAGACTAGGTTTATGTTAAGAATTTTTCAGGAGAGCCTCTAGAGGAGAAGTGGAGCAGACCGTACCAGATATTACTGACCACCTTTACATCAGTGAAGGTAAAGGAACAACCTGCTTCGATACATTATCCAAGAATAAAGCAAGCACCAGAACCAGAGAAGGCATGGTGGATCGAACCTTTAGGACCCTTAAGTATGAAATTGCATTGGTCATAATTAGGATTTATATGATAACTGGTGTACAAGCTTGGGACCAAAACTTAAACCTGAAATTAATGCAGAATGTTACTAAGGTTTTTAATCATAGTGACTGTTGGGTGTGTGCACAGTTGCCTAAATCAGGAGAAAATCCAGACCTACCTGGCATTCCAATTCCCAACACTATCTCATGGACTAATTTCTGGGTGAACACTGGCAACCTATATCCAAGGGAAAGGTTAAAATTTGGGATAGTTAATCCTAATCCAATTAAAGAATATTATACCTGTATAAAAAAATGCATTACACCAGGAACCAGAGTATGAGATTGTTTGTTTAAATGCCACAGGTGTAGGTCACTATTCAGATTGCAATCACACTATTAATATAGATGGTATAATGGTTCAGTGGTGGCCTGTTCCTGAAGGGAAAGGATGGTATTGATTATGTGGAGAAAATGCTTATAAGACCCTACCCCCCAAATGGAAAGGGGTATGAACTTTAGGTGCTATGATACCCAATCTTACTATTATTGACATATATCCTTCTGGAACCTGGGATAGAACTTTTGCTAAACTGATTAAGCAAGGACTTAACCCTATTGCTGAATGGAACACCGCATTTCATAGTTTTGTGAGATGGCTAATTCCATCTCTGGGAGTAAGTGAATTAGAGAAAGCAATCGTAAATATCTCAGCAGCCATAGAGGAAATAGAAAATAAAACCACTGATATAATCCAAGCAGAACAAGAAGAGATAATTAGCTTATCTAACGTGGCATTACAAAGCCAAATGGCTCTAGATATGTTATTGGCTTCACAAGGAGGGGTTTGTTCCATAATCAGTTAAAGTTGCTGTTCCTACGTCGATCAAAGTGGCAGAATTGAAACAGATCTGGAGGAAATTTGGAAACAAAATATTTAATGAAATGGCCAAGGATGATACCTCCTGGGGGTTTGAAGAAATATGGAAAAAGTTAACTTCATGTTTTCATAATCTCTCCTGGTTGAGGCAACTAGTTGCAGGAATAGTAATATTGTTTTGAATTAATTACTTGTGATATTATACAATTGCTTCTGGTATTGTAAGCAGGTGAGCAGCTCCCTGCGAAGGACCTGCTGCAGGACACCAACTCTGGCTCCGAAACTGCTGTGGCTGCCGATATGGGGTAGCTGGTGGAGAGGGTGGAAACCGACGAGAGCAGCAGCTCTGAGGTAGAGGCTCTCACCAGTCTCCTGGGTGCTCCCCCATTAAGGAGCCTCCTCCTCCACGGGTGGCTCTTTGCCATTGCCGTAAGCTTCACCGCTCCTGCACAGAGCTCAGCACAGGCAGGCAGGGCTGCATCCAGCCCTGCTGACATGGGTTTGTGTGATGGCTTCCATTGGGGCAGGGTGAGGACCAACTTCCTGGTCTGTACGGACTCTCCCATGGGGCTCATACTTTGAGCTGCTGGCAGAGGTAACTGTGTGTGTCCACCCAAGTGGCGCTAAGACGCTGCTTAACTAAACACCCATGAAAGTACCATGGGTGCTGGGAAGGGGGGTCAAGATGTACTGGTAGAATACAGCAGCAGCCCCCCGGCACAAGCCTGCCCAGCGCCCATCTGTCTAGCGCCCAAGTTAATTTGCAGGTGCTTCTGTTCAGTCCTGCTCCTGTGTCCTGACTGCCGTCCCTCTCCTCGCCCCACTTTAGGGGAACCTCCAGGATGCTGCCGGCCGGCTGCCAGGCCTCGGCAACCTAAGGACTCTGGCCAGTGATGTGGTATGTTTACGAGCACGCCGGATCCCGCTACAGGACAGGAGATGGCTGCATCCCTGGGGGACCAGTGCAGGTGGTCCCTCTGCACTAGGGCATGGTCCCCAGCAGTGCTGGGTGTGAGGGGGAGTGCTGGGGTGGGCCCCACCATGCCCCTGGCTGCATGGCTGGGGTAAGCCCTTGAACCCTTCCTTCCCCAGCAAATGCTGAAGAAAAGGCTGGGCCTGTACCCGAACCCAGAGGAGGTCAACAACATGGTGCACTGGGACGTGCTGGAGGATTGCCTGGTGGGCAGCAAAAGAGAACGAGGTAGAGATGGAGGAAGACCCAGAGGAGAACAAGAAGGAGACCAGTCTGCCACCAGCAGGTCTCCCACTTCAGATGTGGACACCCCACAAGGGGCAAGCTCAGTGCTGGGATCTAGAGAGAGCTCAGTGGGGCTGAAGGATCCAGGGACAGCTGTAACGGCCCCTAAGCAGCTGGCAGGAGTTCCCTCACATCGGAGGAGGGATGCTAGCACCAGTGTGATGATGCAGACAGCGTCTCAGGACGTGCAGACCACCAGCCTGGGGACACAGCCACCACAGCTGGAGTCCACGGGCACGCAGACCAGCAGCCTGGGGACACAGCCAGCACAGCCGGAGTCCACGGGCGCGCAGACCAGCAGCCTGGGGACACAGCCGGAGTCCACCGTCCCTCAGACCACCATCTCAGGGGAGCGGCTCAGCACACAGCTTCACCAGGCTGGCCCCCTGGCAGCAGGGACTCTCTTGCCGACAGCCCAGGGATTTGAGATCCCACTGGATGCTGATACCAGGGCCACGTCCCACGTGCAAGAGCTGGCCTTGCCCTCGAGCTCCAGCAGTGCCTACCACAATGCCTATAAGTGCTACGTGGAGACGGTGGAGGCTCTCAAGCAGATTGGGCAGCTGAGACACCTCTACGCTGCCCTGAAGGAGCAGGTGGCCCAGATAGAAGCCACCAGGTTGGAGCAGACTGAACTGGAGAAGCTGCGCCTGCTCCTCCAGAAGGGAGGTGGGAGCTCTGGCTGGGAGGCTTGTGGTGGGGGGGTGTTTGAAATGCTGGGTCTGGAGCTGGTTGTGCTCAGAGCCTGGCGCGTAGGGTGAGACCCCTTCACTGACAGTGTGTCCCCTTGTACCATGTTCTTCTAGGCCAGGAGAGCGTTGCCGATGTGCTGGGTGACCTCCAGGCCCAGGTGTCATCCCTGCAGGGCCTGGCCAGTGACCTGCAGGGCTTGTCCAGGGAGCTGCAGGGGGTGGCCAGGGAGCTGCAGGGAGAGAAGGGGAAGGTAAGGAGGCCCCGAGGGAGATGCAGGGGTGCTGGCAGAGTTGGGCACGGAGGAGGCAGCTGAAGAGCCCCTGTGCTGGGATGACACAGGGGCCATGCCCTGACTCTGCCCCCACTGCCATTCCCAGATCAGGAAGCTGGAGAGTGCCCTTGGCAAACTGGAGGCGGCCAGAGCCAGCTGGCAAATGGATCTCGGCGACCAACTCAGCCTGCCACTGGGGTAAAAGGACAGGAGGGGGTTTCGTTTCCTGTGGGGCTGCCAGGGAGCCCCGGAGGGCTGGGAGCATTCCATGCTGGGTGTTGAGGGATGCCCCCTGAGCAGCTAAGCTTGTGAAGACTAAGCCTGCCTGTGCCCCCGTCTCGCTGGCCAGGTCCACACCGCAGGAGGTAAAGCGGGACATGAAGGACCTGCCAGAGCATCATCAAATAAGCAAGGCTGCACTGGATCAGTTGGTGACCCAGATGGGCGAGGAGGGGCAGGAGCAGGTGAGGCGTGGGGGGGAGCTCCCACCACCCGCTGGCTCTTTGAGGTGGTGCCGGTGGGATTCCCAGCCGCATCCCGTGGCTGGCTGGGGCCACGGAGCCTCCATGGCACCTGGGATTGTTGGCTGCATCTGTCCCGTCTCAGAGGTGACTCCTCTTCCCCTTCTGCAGCTGGAAGAGGTGAGAGCGATGGCGAGCACGGGGCAGGAGGAAGCAGTATGCCCCACGTGCAGCAGCGACACCAGCATGCGTTTGGGGAAGCTTCTGCGGAGCTATGAGAAGCTGCAGAGGCTGGTGGACTCCCTCATGTCGAGGAAGAAGACGGGCAAGGTGGTGCAGCAGCTGCCAGGGAAGAGCCAGGTAGGGAGATGGCAGCATGGGGGACTTGGGAGGGGGCTGCCGGACCCATGCCCAGCTGTTTGTGCTTTGGTGTTATGTGGGGGAGTTCCTTGCTGCATATGTCTGCAGCATAGAGGGAGATTCAGGCCGTGCTGCAAATGTCCTGCTGGCACTGAGAGCCTATGTCCACTGGCCCGGTAAGCCAGGTCTGTCCCCGTGGGGCAGCCTCCCCACCTTGCCTGGCACTACCTTGTTATTTTCCTCCCTGGAGCAGGACCAGGAGGTGCTGAAGCGCATCCAGGCTGCCGTCCTGCAGATGCAAGGGGAGTATGAAAAGCTCAACTCTGTCATGGGGAGCCTCCTGGATGACAGTCGCCAGCAGCAGAAAGATATCGAGGTAGATGGCTGAAAGCCCCATGGGCTTAGAGCATCCTCCAGGCAGAGCCCAGGCTGGGGACCACAGGCGATTTGCCCTGTGGAGATTAAGAGTACCTTTCCCAGAGGATTCTTGCGGGGGGTAGAAGCAGGGGTGCTCCTGCCACGATATCATAGGATGCTTTCTGTGTTGGAAGGGTCTGTTGCAGTCCATGGAGAGGCTGGAGAAGGAGAAGGCAGACAAGGACGACCTGGAGCTGGGAATGGATGAGGTACAACCTCAAGGGGCCTAAGCAGCAGCCAGGGGGGTCCTGGGCAGGGAGACAAATGCCCCTTCTTCCCTGGGAGGTTGGTGGGAGAGCTGGCCCGGGGGAGGGAGGATTTCTAGCCCAGCTGCAGGTCCCTCTGTCTCCCCCCATGTCCCTTGGGCTGGTAGGACCGACCCCCTGGGGGTGACGGGGCGAGTGGGGCCACACAGCCGTGGGAGGAACACAGTGGTCCTGCAGGAGTGCTTTTGCCTCTGCCCCTGCAATGAGCTGACCCTGGCTGTTGCACCTCCATCCTTTCCCCACCGTTCTCCTGCCTTTCCCTGTTGCTAGAAAGCAGACAAAGACGCCTTGGAAAGCAAAGTCAGCCGCACCCAATTTGAGGCGAGCCTGGAGCTGCTGAACAAGAGAAACCAGGAGGTGCTGAGCCGGGTGACAGGCCAGGAGCAGGGGCTGCACGAGGTCCAGCAGCAGCTGCGGGAGGAGATGGCCTCCAAGGTGAGGGGCGGCTCATCACCGCTGGGCAAAAATGGCACCTTCGGGGCTTGGTGGCCCAAGGCAGCATCCTCCTGAGGATTCCTGCTCCTGGCTTTTCTGTGAGGATGCAGCGTCCCATCCCGGGGCGGCTGGCTGAGGGAGTGTGTCTGTCTGCAGCTGGATCGCCTGGAGCTGGGGCCATTCCAGCAACAGCTGGATGGACGCTGGAAGGGCAGCCTCGAGCAGCTCAAGGAAATGGCACCACCAATGGAAGCTGACGATGCAGCTGGGATTAGGAAGTGAGTGCAATAGGGACAGCACTCGCCTTGTTCCCGCCTTGTCCTTGCCTGCATCCCCTGTTCCCACGGTGCTCTGGGTGCCTGTGGCAGTGGTTCCCATGGCTTTGGAGGTTCTTGGGCGCTCCCTTCTGCGGATACTCCTGTGCCTAAGATGAGGTGGAGGTTTTTCCCAGGCGGGAGCCCACAACCAACCACTTTCCCTCATCCTATCCCCTTTCTTCTGTAAGCAGTCAGCAGGTTGGGACCTTGTTGGTGTTGGGGGGGATAAACCAGGCTCAAAACCGGGTTTCCCAACTCACCCGGCCCTTTCTCCCCTCCCCAGGCAGCTGCTGGTGGATTTCCAGTGCCTGTCTTGTGACAGGCAACTCAGCATGCGGATGCCTAGCTCGTGAGTACCACCCAGCACAGGCGCATCAGGAGTCTGCATGGGTGGGATGGGGGGAGGTGGGTGCTGGTGATGCTCCAGACGAGGCATGGGGTTCGGGGTGTCTGCCTGCGAGGGTCCGGTGGTGCCCAGCACCCTCCACAGGCCTGCCCGTCAGCGGGAGGATTAGGACCCCTCCCTGAGGGCAGCGGGCAGGGGATGCCGTGAGGTACAAGCCTGTGGCGGTTGGGGTGCTGCCACGAGCCCAGGTGGGTCATTTGTCCCCTATCACCCCCTGATGGCTCTTGCCCTCCCCAGGCCTATCCCGCCCATCCCGTCCTTTCCACCGCTGGTCCCTCACGTCACTGGGCAGTCCCACCCCATTCGGAAGACAGAGCAAATCCACAGGTAGGGGACACGGACCCATCCCCATCCCTGGGGTGCACGATGGCCCTGCCCCAGCAAGGGAGAGTCCTTCCCTGCGTCGGGGTAAAGGGCTCTGCTCCCTGGGCAGGGCAGGGGAGCAGAGATGTGCCACAGAGGCTCAGCTGTGCTTGCCCCAGGCCTGGGGTTTTACAGCCTCGCCACTGTGCTGCCCCGTCTCTCTCTCAGTGGCGCTGAAGCCGCATGTGCTGAGTTGTGTGTTGAGTGTTCCCATACCCTATCGCGCAGGGAGCGGATGGCTGCATGCAGGTACCCCACCGTGCCACGGCAGTGTGGGGGCCAGCGTACCCTCACACACCCGCTGCAGCGCAGCCTGCGCCTCCAGCCGGTCCAGCCCAGCACCCCACAGACACTCCAGCCACCCACCCTGCTCCCCAGCAAGGTAGAGATGAAGAAAGAAGGGATCTGGTGCGGGTGACTGAGGCTGGGAGGGTGATGCTGAGCGTTTGGGAGGGGGAGGGGATCCATGCCTCAGTTTCCCTAGGAGAGACGGGTATAGAGGGTTGCTTGGGGATGCTGAATTCAGCCCCAAGCTTTAGCCAACCCATTCTCTCCCCAGCAGGACAACATAGAGCTGTTGGGGCAGGGCAGCCGCAGGGCTGGCCCCTGCCCCTCAGACCCAGGCCCCACTGGCCCACTGGAACACAGGTCAGCTTCATTCCACAGCCACCTCCTCCAGGTACACCAGCCCCAGCCGCCCCTCCAGCCCCGCAGGACGGATGCAGCATCCCGGCAGCCGGGCAGGACTTGGGGTCACCGGCTGAATCCCAGTGCCCCGGCACCCCAGCAGGCAAGGAAGTAGCTGCCAGCAGCAGCAATAAATGGTGATGCTCAGCAAAGCGCCTGTGTGGCCTGAGTGGGGGAACCCTGGCTTGGGATCTGCCCTTGGCCTGTGGCCACGTGTCACTGAAGGAGCTGAAAACAGCCCCTGGCCACCCTCCCTGCTCCTCATCCCCAGGGTCTGGGCAGCCCGAGCTTCTGCGCTCCCCCTGGCTCCTCCATGATCCCTGTGTGGCCCCGATGGCCCCTGCTAGGGGAGCCTGTGGCCCCACAGTGGGGCTGGGGGAGCTGAGCAGTGCCAGCAGCAGCAGGAGGAGGAGGATGCTCAGTGGCTGCTGAAGGTGACAGCAAATTGGCACCTGGGTGGGAAGGGCGGTGGTGGCAGCACACGGTGAGGGACAGCTCTCAACTCCCTGCTAAAAGCAGGGAATTTGCCCGTATTGTTGCCCTTGTTTTCTGATTGTGAGTATTGCAGTGGTATTGGTGAAGAGCACAGCGCAGGAAGGGGCTTCAGGGCTTCATGCTAGGGTTGGCTTCCTTGGTGTTCTTGTCAAGGAAGGCAACATGTGTGGCTGTACTGCTTCTGGCATCCAACTTCGATCATACCCAGCCCTTAATTCATCAATAAGCCATGACATCAGCTAGCTGGGGCCAGCCAAGACGGTGGAGATTTGGTGCCTTAAATTGCCCAGGAGAGCTAACTCCCACCACAACTAGGCTGTGTGGACTTCTGAGGCTAGGGCTCAACTCCCCTGCCTTCACAAGTCTACAGAATAAAAGCTTAACACTGTGTCCCATTGAAGCCAAAGGACTGTAGTCATCCGCCCATGTGTGGCTGTTAAGAGACTGTGCTGTTGACTTCACTGTCTGTGTGGACCGTGCAAGCAACAGCCTTCAATCCAAGACTGTAGACCCTTGAACTGTCCTGGAAGCCCTGGTATCAAGCTTAGATGTAGAAACATACACAGCAGTTACCTATAGTTAGGTGAGAGGAATGCCAGTACAGGTGTCTATGGGACTGTAAGATGCCTGTGATGAAGCGAGCTACTGCAGAGGATCAAGAGATGAGACAGAGGTTTGTGCTCAATGCACCAGGCTGCATTAACCAAATGCCTCAGTGCTGGGCCAGTGCCTGTGACAGGCACAGCCGTCACGATAACACGTAAGTGGCAGTGTAAGGTCACAAGTGCTCTGTTTGTGTAAGTCCCTTATACCCACGTGGACCTCAACAGGGCTTGAAAAGAGGATGTGCACCATCTCGGCGTGGTCTGTTGAGGCACCACTTGGGTGGGTAGGAGCAGTGTTAGCATAAGAACTGACACATAACCACCGGAATGGTTATATGAGGTGCTTTATTGAGGCGCCGGGAACCAGGGGTACGCACCCAAATCTGGTTCCAACTCCCGTCACATCGCGTTCACAATTTATACACTAAAAATTTCGTAACTAATACATATTCAACACAGACATCATTGACTAATACATATGCATCAAGGATTGCTACTTCAGTCTATTACGACATCAGCTTCCTTTGCGCTTGCGCAGCCCCCTCTGGTGGTCGCCCTGATGAAGTAAGAAGTCTTCCTCAGGTTGTCCTCTTCACCTTTGCTCTACTTGGCTAGGTCCCAATCGTCTTGTGGACGTTAGCATTCTCTTGTCTTCACCAGGATGTTTCTGGTATGCCCTTTTTGGCTATCTTAAACTTAGGTTCTGCTTGGGTAGAGTTTTACAATACATACACCCATACTCCCCTCCCCATATACAGTTATGTTAGCTCTTGCTACCAAGACTACCATTGTATCATTTAGTTACAGAGTAACTGATACAAAACGGCAAAGTTACGATGTCTTCTAATATACAAAGCCTCACTATTGCTTTATAAATTTCTCAAATATAATCATTTTACTATCTTACATGATTATTTTATTGTAAAAACCTCACCCTAACATTTCCCCCCTTTGAAAATACTTCATTCAACTTAAGCAAGTATTTTCATTCTCTTAGGTAGCTGTCTCCTGATAGGTAGGTAGAGGTGTGGGGTACTTTGGATGTTCCCTAGTTACTGCTCCTATGATTCGATGAGTCCATGCACTGTTGCGAGTCATTTCCCTTTATAAGTGTTGGTCCCATCAGAATGGTTTCCGTGAACTTGCCGGTCAGAATGGCATCTTGTTTTAAGTTTTGTCAAACCATTTTTCTGAGAAATTCCTCTCTTTTAATGGTTCCTCATTCCAATTTCGGATGTATACTTGATCTCCTGGCTGAATGTCATGCACTGGATTTTCCAAGGACAATGGCCTGTTCCACACCAGGGTGCTTCTCAGTCTGGTTAGGGTTTTACCTAGAGATAGCCCATAACTGTAAACATCCTGATTCCCTTTAATGTGGGTATTGGGATTAGGTTCTGGTGCTTCATATGGTTTTCCATAGAGGATTTCATAGGGGCTTATTGACATTCCACTTCTCGGTTTTATTCTGATTCGCAACAAGGCTATGGGCAGTGCCTGTGGCCACTTTATTTTGGCCTCTTGGCATATTTTACTGATTTGCCTTTTTATTGTCTGATTCATCTTTTCCACCTGCCCACTAGATTGAGGTCTCCAGGGAGTATGTAGATTCCATGATATTCCTAACAGTTTACTTATCTTCTGTACTACTGTTATGATAAAGTGTGGGCCTCTGTCTGATGATATTCCTAAAGGACCACCAAATCGTGGAATAATTTCTCTGAGCAACCACTTTACTGTCTCTTTTGCCTGATTGGTGCGACAGGGAAGGGCCTCCGGCCATCCAGAAAAGGTGTCAACCCCTACTAATAAGTATTTGTACCCTTGTGTCTTTGGTAATTCCACAAAATCAATTTGCCAATAATCTCCTGGTTCCATCCCTACTCTGATCCTTCCCATTTCAACCTGTTTCCTCACTATTGGGTTATTTTTCAAACAAATTTCACATTTTGACCCTACTGATTTTGCCATGGTTAACATCTGTGTGGAAATTATTCCTCGCTTTAAATAAGTCACCAATGCTTCTGCACCCCAATGACATTTCTGATGTTCGTTCTGTAGAATTTTTCGCATTATAGCTGGTGGCACTATTATTTGTCCAGTTACTGTTGTATACCATCCTTCAGAATTCTTTTGAGCCTTTAAAAGTCCTGCCAATCTCTCATCTTCCTTTGAATAGTTTGGATCTTGTAAGAGATAGGTATGGAGTGGGCTTACCTTGAGAGGTATCAGTGCCATTATATTCCATACCTTCCGGGCCACCTGTCGAGCTGTCCGGTCTGCCAATGTATTTCCTTCAGCTATCTTTGAAGTTCCTCCTTGATACGCTTTGCAATGCATGATGGCCACCTGTTTGGGCTTTTGCACAGCAATTATTAATTCCAAAATTTCTTTTTGATATTTTATATTAGTCCCTTGAGAAGATAGAAGCCCTCGTTCTTTCCATAACGCTCCATGTATATGTGCTACGCCGAACGCGTACTTGGAATCTGTCCAGATATTTACCTTTTTGTTGTTACTCGGTTCCAGTGCTCTCATAAGAGCTATGAGTTCAGCCCGTTGTGCTGATGTTCCAGGAGGTAGCGCTTTTGCTTCAATTATCTTTTGCTGTGTTGTTACAGCATACCCTGCATATTGTGTTCCATTTTCCACAAAGCTGCTACCATCTGTGAAAAGTTTCCAGTCAGGTTGTTCAAGAGGTTCATCCTTTAAATCTGTTCTAGTCGCATATGTATGCTCGATGACCTCTATACAGTTGTGTTTCAGCGTCCCTCCTTCTAGGTCCGTTCCTAGAAAGGCTGCTGGATTTAACAGGTTAGTAGTCTTTAAGCTTACATCATCTTGTTCTGTTAAAATTGCTTGATATTTCATCATCCTGCTAGGAGATAAGCAGTACCCCCCTTTTTGTTCCAAGACGATTGTCACCATATGTGGCACAAACACTTCCATGCGTTTTCCCAAAGTCAGTTTTCTGGCCTCCTGTATTAGAACAATAGTCGCTGCTACTGCTCTCAAACATACAGGCCATCCCGCACTTACCGGGTCCAGCTGTTTTGAGAAATATCCTACTGGTCTCTTCCAGCTTCCAAGTTTCTGAGTTAACACTCCCAGCGCTAATCTCTGTCTCTCGTGGACAAATAACTGAAAGTCCTGTGTCAGATCTGGGAGTCCCAAAGCCGGAGATTTCATTAACGCCTCTTCCTGTGGTTTATTCCAAACAAAAACAGGTGATTTTTGGGCCTCATACAGGGGTTTAGCAATGAGTCCATAGTCCATTATCCATAATCTGCACCACCCTGCCATACCCAAAAATGTTCCTAACTCGTGTAGGTTCCGCGGTTCGGGAATGGCACAAATTGCCTCTATGCGATTTATTCCCAGCTTTCACTGCCCTTGTGAAATTTCACATCCTAAGTACAACAGAGTCGTGCACGCAATTTGCGCCTTTTGAGACCTTATACCCATTCAGGCCTAGTTGGTTTAAGATTTCAATAGTCACCTTTATGCATAACGATTTTTGTTCTGTTGCAATAAGGATGTCATCTACGTATTGCAATAAGAGATATTGTGATCTCGGTACCTGTACCTTTCCTTGAGTGGTCCATGCCTCCAGTTCCTTAGCCAATTGGTTTCCAAATAGGGTTGCACTGTTCTTGAATCCTTGTGGAAGTCTGGTCCATGTCAATTGTGTTTTCCGTCCATTGTGTGGGTTTTCCCATTCAAATGCAAACAGTTTCCTGCTACTTTTGTCAAGAGGAATGCAGAAAAAGGCGTCTTTTAAATCAATCACTGTAAACCATTTATACTTCACAGATGTTAACAATGTGTAAGGGTTTGCAACCACTGGGTGGGTATCTTTTGTTATCTCATTTATGGCCCTCAGATCCTGGACGAACCTGTATTCACCATTTGGTTTTCTTACTGAAAAAAAATGGAGTGTTATATTCTGATTCACATTCTTCCAAAATTCGATATTTTCAAAATTTCTCAATTGTTTTTAAAATCCCGTATCTTGCTTCTAGCTTCAATGGATATTGTTTAATTCTTACTGGCCTAACCCCATCCTTTAGCTCCACTATTACTGGTTGAGTTGCTTTTGATTTTCCTGGGATTTCTGTTTCCCAAACTACCGGTATTGCAGCCTCTTCTACCTCCTTTGGGATTTGAGCAATAGGCTTTTCTTTAAGAACCAAAATCTGTCCTGCTTTTGATTCAGGGATTTGCATTATTAATTCACCATTCTCAAAAATGATCATTGCATCCAATTTGGCCAATAAGTCCCGTCCTAAAAGGGGAATGGGGCATTCAGCTACATATAGAAATTCATGTGTTAATTCCTTCCCTCTAAATCGCAGATCTAGGGGCTGCAAGAATGGCTGTATTTCCTCCTTCCCTGTGGCTTCCACAATTGTCGTAGTTCTTTCCCCTAACTTCCCGTGTAAATCATTTAAAACTGAATAGGTAGCCCCTGTGCCTATTAAAAACTTCACTTCTTTTTCTCCCAATTGGATTTTGAGTTTTCATAATCATTTTCATTACACGGGCTACTTTATCAGGGTTTTCTCTATATGTTCCTGCTGATTGTTTGCAGATGATTAAATCTCCAGGCAAGAAAGGTACCTTAACATACACCAGGCCCTCAGCTCCCACCCCCTGTCTTAAAGGTGCCAGCACTGCTTTAGGTACCTGGATTCACATTTTTCCTTCCCGACTTCCCCTCCAGCGAGTTCTGTGTGAAACCAGAGTAGTGGGGAGGGTTGCCCTCTGATCTTTCCTACACTGGCAACTTCCCCTGCTTTCAAAATCACTATCACTCTCTTCCTCACTGTCATCTTCTCCCCCCCCCCCCTTCCTCCATTTGAAGCCGGTGGGGCTGATGGGGTCACTACTAAATCCAGACTTTCAATGTCCCTCTGGTGTTGTAAACTATTGTCTAC